GTATTACTAAATGATCATTGAAATTATTGAACTATTATAATATAGTCCTCAAATTTATCAGAATTTATCATTATTTTATAATTTGCAGTGATTAATTAATAACAATGTTGATGAAAAATGAAGGAAGCTGTGGATCCCAAGGAATGATGGATTTCATGAATGAGAGCAAGCTTATGGATCTGCTTAATGGCTCTGATTATGTTCCTACCTATGAGGACAAAGATGGTGACTGGATGCTTGTTGGTGATGTCCCTTGGGAGTATGCACCCCTTGTCCTTTCCCTAATTCACTTGGTCCTTCCAAATTTACTCATTATCAGAGATAAATCTTCTCAATTTAACAACTTCAATCTTTTTCACATAAATAATCAAATTATTATTATTTTTTAATTCAGGGTGTTCGTTGAATCTTGCAAAAGGCTGGGTATAATGAAAGGAACCGAGGCAATCGGGCTTGGTCGGTATTTTTAAAAACAGTAAATTACACCAAAGTCACTAAATTTAGATAAATTTTATTTTCACCACTGAAGTTTGAAAATCACGATCACCGACGTTATCGAAATAACCGTTTTGTTATAAATTGATAATGTTAGTGACTGTAACGTAATCTTTAAAAGTTCATCGGTGAAAACAAAATTTTATCCAAACTTGAGTGATTTATTGGTGTAGTTTACCCAATTTCTTTTGAGTTTATTTAATTTGATTATTAGAATAATTAATTTTAGGGTAATTACACATTTAGTATCTAAACTATCAGTTTTGGTCCGTTTTAGTACTTAAACTTTTAATTTTTTCAAAATCATACCTAAAGTTTAATTTTTATTTCATTTTAGTACCATCGTTAAAAACTTATTTTTGTTTCATTTTAGTACTCACATTCAAAATTTAACGTTAAATTTTGAAAAAATTAAAAGATTAGGTCCTAAAATGGACCAAAACTGATAGCTTAGTTACTAAACACATTAAGTATATAAAGACGGGGTACTAAAACAAAATAAAAACTAAACATTAGGTATGATTTTGAAGAAATTGAAAGTTTAAGTACTTAAACATATCGAAACTGATAGTTTAGATACTAATTACGTAATTTACCCTAAATTCTAACACAAGAAAATGTTGGTGGATTTAATTTCAGCACCAAAAGTAGTGGAGAAATGCAAGAAGAGGAGCTGAAGGGAGATAAGAGAGTGACCTGCTCTTGTTAATCTATGTGGTCGCGTGTTGGATGCATGGCCACATCATCATTATCATCATAAAATATAAGAGGCAACATATAGATGGATAGATAGATGGATGGATGGATGGATGGATGGATGGATGGAACATTTTGACTTTATTACTTCTATCATTATTAATAATTATGGTGTTTTTGTGTTAATTAAGCATTAATATATATAATATTATAAGTTAAATGTGAGACATAACGGTGGTAATTAAGTATTTGATGTTATGGAAAATGGACAGAAACATATGACTATTACTGTATGTATGGCGGCAAGAACTCTGGGCTGTCGTATTTTGCTTTTGTTTGGTGTTATTAAGCTTTGCTCTTAGTTATTATTCATTATGGCTTTGCTTAACATAAAAACAATACTTGTTATAAATAAATGAATGAATAATGTATATGTTTGTAGTTATAAATTTATTATTTTGTTTTTCTGTTCTTCTATTATTTGTATTTTATTTTACGGTAAACTACTCATTTAGTATTTAAACCATTAATTTTTGATCCGTGTTAGTATCTAAACTTTTAATTTTTTCAATCATATACTTAACATTTAGTTTTTGTTTCATTTTAGCATCCCACCGTTAAAATCTTAATGCGTTTAGTACCTAAACTATCAATTTTAGTCCGTTTTAGTACCTAAACTTTTAATTTTTTTTCAAGACTTAACGTTAAATTTTGAACGGGATACTAAAATGAAACAAAAATTAAACTTTAGCTATGATTTTGAATATATTAAAAGTTTAGGTACTAAAACATATTAAAACTGATACTTTAAATACTAAACACGTAATTTACCCTTTATTTTGTTGAGAGTAGTGCGTAGGTCGGAGGAAGAGGGCCTTTGGATTTGGAAATGGAAAGGGCAACAATGTAATGTGGGCATTTATTAATGCCCATTGGCTTTTGGTCAGGCATGTCGATAAATAGTAGTATTTGACTTTTATTCTTTAGTTGAATAAAAAAATTAATTATTTTCATAACAATAATAATCAGTGAATATTCAACATAAATAAAACATTATTGATATTCAACAAGCGAAATAATTATTTAATGGACAAAAAATTATAATAGGTCGATTGGTCGATCATAATTCACTTTTAAATTGAACAGATGGGAGCAATTTATAGGATAAATTATGCATTTGGTACCTAAATTATTAGTTTTTTAGGTACTAAACACGATAAGTTTTCAACAGTGAGATACTAAAACAAAAAGAAAAATTAAACGTTAGATATGATTTTGAAAAAAAATAAAAGTATAAATACTAAAACATACCAAAACTGATAGTTTATGTACTAGGGTGCGTTTGGTTCACGGAATGTAAGATTACAAGTGGGAATAAACGATTACTAGGGAATATGATTACTGAGAATGTTGTATTTTGTGTTTGGTTGGTTTAGCAGGAATGTAAGATTATCGTGTTTGGTTAAAGGAATAAAAGATTATTGGAATGTATATTTGACCAAATTGTCCTTATTATATATTTGTATAATATTACAAATTATAAAATATTTATATATTTTCTTTAAAAAATTAAATTCGTAATATTTATATAATTTTTTTTACAAAATTAAAAATATAAAAAAGGTTTAATGAAAGGGTAATTTTTTTTAATTCTTGAACTTCATATAAAATTTTAATTATAGATTTTTTTTATAAATCTAAAATAATTTAAGGATAAATTTGTAATTTAACCTTCGTAGAATTTTTATTATTCAATGACAAAAGAATGATATTTTTTTAAAAAAATAATAATTTAAGGACATTTTAATCCAAAACGCCGGTAATGTTACAATACCTAAGGGAAGGGAGGTAATGACATTCCCGGTAATATACTCCAAAAAATCTACTATTGGTAATAAAACATTACCGGGAATGAAATTCCCGGCCAACCAAACATGGGAATGCCACAATCCTTGAACCAAACACCCCCTAAATGTATAGTTTACTCTTTTTTATAACAATAAGGGAGAATCCTTCTGTTCTTCATATAGGATATCACCTATATAATAATCATTTTATATAATAAAATTCATATGACATCCCAATATATATTGATTTGTTTATAAATATTAAATAATTAATTCTAATATATTATCATATTATATTTTTTTGTATAATTAAATAAAAAATAGTAATTGTTTAGTATTACATGATTATCACCGATAGGCTTATATAATATTGGAACTGACAACTCTGATGAATCCCTCGTACATTTGACGATACCATATCATTGATGAAATTTCTTCACGGTTTTAACTTTATGGTAAACTCAACATTTAGTACTTAAATTATCAATTTTAGTCTATTTTAGTACCTAAACTTTTATTTTTTTTTCGAAATTATGCCTAACGTTTGATTTTTGTTTCATTTTAGTATATCGCCGTTAAAAATTTAACGCATTTAATACCTAAACTATCAGTTTTAGTTCGTTTTAGTACTTAAACTTTTGATTTTTTCAGAATTTAACGTTAAATTTTGAATAGGGATAATAAAATGAAACAAAAAATTAAACTTTAAGTATGATTTTGAAAGGTAAAAGGGTAAGTTTTACTCATTTTGTAGACCCAATTTATAACTTATGCCCTTATCATATTTTCGCATCAATTTAGCCATCAAAGTTGCTCGATTGCATCATTCTATACTCTACCCCTAATTTAAAACTCTAAATTACAAATCTTAAACCCTAAACCCTTAACCATAATCTCATAACCTAAACCCTTAACCATAACCTCATAACCTAAACCCTAACTTATGATTTATAATTTAGAGTTTTAAGTTAGGGTACGATATACAATGATGCAATTAAACAACTTCAAGAGTTAAATTGATGCGAAAATATGATAGGGACGAAAATAATAAATTAGGTCTACTACAACGCAAATGTGACCGTTAAGTCATTTTGAAAAAATTAAAAGTTTAAAGTACTAAACATACCAAAACTAATAGTTTAAATGCTAAACACATATTTTACCCTAACTTTATTCATTTGGACTGGGATTCATTAAAGGGGAGAAGAAAACAAGATGCAACAATGACAAATTTATATAATCCCTTTTAGAAATAAAAGTTAGTTACAATTTATAATTTGATAAAAATTATATTTTCATATTCCAATAAAAAATTGTTTTTTTTTAAAAAAAAAAAATTCATCACATTAATTTAAAAACAACACTTCTCTTTCCCTCTTTTATAAATTTGACTCTAGACCTTTAGAAAGTGTCAAATTTGACCCTTAATCTTTACTATCCTCCATTAACAAAAAGGAAAACAAAATAGCAATTTGATTGTGCATTGCAGACCATTGATATTTCAAACAAAACCTTAAGGGTAAATTACATGTTTAGTGCCTAAATTATCAATTTTAATCCATTTTAATACCTAAACTTTCAACTATTTCAAAATCATACCTAAAAGTTAATTTTTGTTTTATTTTAGTACTCCATTTAAAACTTAACATTATTTTTTTTAAAAAAATTGAAAGTTTAGATACTAAAATAGACCAATATTGAAAGCTTAGGTTCTAAACATGTTTAGTTTTTAACGAGGTACTATAATAAAAAAAATCTAAACATTATGTATGGTTTGAAAAAAAATTGAAAATTTAAATATTAAAACAGACTGAAATGATAGTTTAAGTACTAAATGCATAGTTTACCCAAACATTAATCACCTTTGGTTTTTGTTTTTGGATAAAAAGAAACACAAAGTCCTCCATAAAGGACATATATTTATTAGAGACGTGGTAGATAACTATTCAGGACATATATTTATTACAAAAATGGAGATTTTAGTCCACAAGCACATTGCATTGCCGTTCCATTACCCTCCTCCGTTTATTATCATCACTTGTCTGCAAAAGAAAACAAAACACACTTCATCATGGCAACCATCATTGATAGAAACATTACCTGTTGACTCAGACAATCCGGTGCACAAACCCTCTTGGAGCCGTTGGCCAGTCGCTTACATTGAAATCGGTTTTCCAGAGATGCCATGTTATCAATCACTTATGATGAGAACAACAGGAAAAGAATCGTAAATAACGGCGAAAATGAATGAGATTATCGTTGCCGTTTGAAGATTTGATTTAGCATGTAGAAAATGGAGCTCAATGAAACTATATTTTCCTACCTGGCCTTTGATGGCTCTGCCGCATGCACATTATGTAAACTTGGGCATTGAAGGAGCAATCTCTCTGTGAAAACAAATAGTTTATTCGATAGTTGTTAAATCATACGAGCTGAACATACTCAACTGTCCAAACTAGCAGATAGATTAAAGCTTAGCATACCCGGATGCAAGTTTTTACAAGAGTTGAGGTTAAGGTCGTTGAGTTCCGCCGAAATCAAACATAAAGCCTGGATTGAGATTCACAAAAAAGAACCACATAGGATATTAAGAAGAAACTAGCAACGTGCTCAAGATTAGGGACTAAAAGAGCTTATATCTAAGCAAGAACAACCCCACAAGCTGATTTTTTTTAGTCGGTTGTGTTTGATGATAAGCATCTGGTACATAAGGTGCAGTTTATTGTTCAATGCGTTAGGAAGTTGATTGTCACCATCTCCATCACTAGGTGAATTCTGGGAATCAGGATCACATATGGTCATCCCGCAATCCATGAGTTCAAGACGAGGCAGTTGAGATGTGACAAACTGAATTCCACCTGAGAAATGCAGAGAAACATGTTAATGAGTAGCTTTAGGGTAGAATATGGCATTTACAGGATATGTATAGCTGTGCCGGAGACATAGGTGTGAGCCGAAGACACGAGGATTACTTGAAGTTATGTTGGGACAAAGAGCAAGGAGTCTTGACAATGTGTTCGGGAAAACATTGCAGATAATTCCAATGCCACCGTTATTGATGCTAGACCTGAAATGAAGCAGCGAGCATCAGGAATATGTTGCTAAAGATCAACTGACAAATAAAGTAACCCCTTAGAACCAGCTCACATACCCGCTGAGATCAAGCAGTTCTAATCGTGAATAGATAGATGCGATTGCAGCAACAGATGCATCAGTGATTTCTGAGCCGAGAACGAGTGAATGCATTTGCAAGCCCCTGAAAGAAAAAAGTTAATAAACTAGTGATTATTTACCATCTAAATGCAGATATCCATGAAACAAAACATGGCATTGCTAGAAAACTGAACAAAGCAAGCCCAGTTAATCACTATGATCCTGATAAGGCAAAGCAATGCCTGCAGATTCATAAAGGTTCAACAAACCTCAAATTAGCAGCTGTAAGAGAAAGCACAACAGCATGTGAAAGCCGAACTGATGCAATGTGTGTTTTGCAATTTCGGACAAGTTCTGCCCATTCCATCAACCATGGTTGTAAGATCGGTAGTATCGTTTTCTTGGCGAGAAAACTCTAAGGATATCTCTTTCAAATTGGGACAGTTAAAAACCTACAATAGAAGGCACATATGAACACAAATTGACTCACAGGCAACAAAAAAAAAAAACTTGAAAATACAAAAAGTACCTGATGAAAATCTTACCATCTTCAGAAAGCCAGAGAATTGTAAAAATTCGACCATTTACTGATTCTTTATCAAAAAGTTTCCAACCCTTTGTTAGTTATTGCATCGGCTCTAGCTCTCAAGTATTGGGATTCCTTTTATCTAAGTTTTACAAAAATATCACAACTGGAAGAGTGCTTAGATCAAACACTGGTAGGCAATTTTCGTGTTACTGCTTAGATGTCATTATATTATAGCCAGGTTAATTCTCATTTTATGAATTTATTTTGATCTTCGTTGATATCAACCGATCCAACCAGTAGAAGCCTAGATCTGTTAAAGTTTGGCATAGACCTGAACCTTTGCATCTTAAGAGAAAGTCCAACAAGCCTGGGGCATTTCTTTAAAACCGATCCCATGAATCTGAGCTGACCCTTAGGTGGGACCATAAGTCTCAGCTCCTCCACAGCCTCTTCGTCGTTTTCCTCCAAACTTTACACACTCCTGCAGCCGCCAACATCCCCGGCGGCGGCAATCTCCTCAAGACCTCCAACAAACACCCAGCCGGCAACCCACCGGAGACCATCTCATCATCCGGATCAAGATCCGCACCCGGATGAGAAGAATTATAGCTGTCCAAATCGCGTTCCGGCGAGTCACAGCGGATGTCGACGTCGGAGGTGCGAGGACTGACGCAGGGGCGGAAGCTGAAGCGGACGGGACGCGGATGAGGAATTTTCAACGGTAGTGACGGTGGCTGGACTCGAGGTAGGAGTGGTAGTTGAAGTAGGGGTGGCGCCACTGCTGACTTGGCAAACATGGCCTTTCTTGGGAAGCCCACATCTGCCCCAATTGTAACTGCCGCGTCGTTTGGCCTCCTTGAAGTCGAAAACCGCGGCGGAAGAGTAGGCGGAGGCGAAGACGAAATGTGGGGCTGTGGGCAAATTAACCCATTGGTCAACAAACTATTACTCATTTCTATATTTTAATCACCAAACTATACTTTAACTAATTCAATAATCACGTGTCATTATCTTATAATTAATATAATCATTAATTTTTTAATGATGAATAATTAAAATATAATCAAAAGTAAACATTAAGTATAATTTTGAAATAAAAAATAGTTGAATGATCAAAATGAAACAAAAGTAATAATTGGGTACTAAATGTGTAACTTACCCTTATTATCATTGAGGTTGTGAGATGTACTTAGGGATTGGCATGGATCGAATCAAATTTTCGGCCAACTCAACCCGAAAGTGTATATGCTCCACCTAAAACCCCTCAACCTGAATTTAGGAGTGACTTCACCCAATCCAAACTCAACCCGATTTTTTGAGATAAAACTCGACCTGACCCGGAATAAATATAAAAGAATATTATTTTTATTAAAAAAATAGAGATCTAATTGAAAAAATAATATATAAAATATTATTATTGTAATTATTCATAAATATATAAGGTAAATTTACATTATTTTTATAGTCAGATTGAGTATTTTTACAATAAATCCGAACCCACCCAACCCGAACGCATTTAAAAAAAACGTTGATGTCGATTTCAAGGTTTTTGTTCTTATATTAGTCTGAATAATCCAAGTATAAAATTGTGACAAATAGACATGAAGCTTTCTATTTAGCAATTTCAAATCTCCAAGCACATGGCGCTTATGTACTCCGGACATTAGGGAGAAGAGTGGGAAACACACACCGCAGGTGGCCAAAGCAAGTTTTGATAAAAGTTCATTTGAAGTGCCTGGTTTTGTTACGTAACTATAAACATCTATGACCAATAAAGCATCTAATAAGTTTACGAGCCTGTAAACTTAAGATTCATCGTCGATCATTTCTGCTTCCTCCCACCATGAAACCGGCCCTAAACCATCGTGGTTTAGCGATCCCTGAAATGAATGAAAATAAGATATCAATCACAGAACTAAATATTTGGCACCTACGGTGAAACAAAAGTTACACAAGTGTGGTTATCTTAGTTCTATTTGCTGCATGGTTGGCATTCCAGAGATGGATTTGGGGGGTATTCAGTGTGCTACTGGGTTTAACCTTGGAAAGCTCCAAATCAGGTACTTGGGAGTACCATTGGCCACTCGAAAGCTTACTGAGAAAGACTGCCGACCTCTCATTGCAAAGATTAGGAGCAAGCTGAATCATTGGTCAAATAGCCAAGGAGAGATGCTTCGGGGAGAGAAACCTAACACTACGGGCAATGATGGAACAATAATTGTGAAAAGATGAACTTACAGTGATCACCATTGGGGCAAATGGTTTCGAGTTTTCTGGCTGTTCAAGTGGAATTGAATGATAAATAACACTCTGAACTCGAAATTTAATCTGTGATTAAGAAGATCTCAACTCACTAAAGGTAAAATATCAGAAGTTAATGAAATTTTTGCAACAATATCACAACACATACCGGATCTCACCCATCAATAACAAATCGCGGTTCATCCTACTGTTTTTCTCCTCCTCCGAAGTCTCATATCCATCTGCCTTGATTTCTGCAATCCTCAAAATAACAAGGAGCACATTAGACGTACATACCAGCATAAAGAGAATAATAAATTAAGGAAATTTAAGGAGTTGTAGGTTCTAACTCTGGTTATATCAGAGCGGAATAAACAATCAACTAGTTCTTACCTAGTATTAGGGACAACTTCGAAGCGAGATGGATTCGGCAATTGGTCGACAGGTATGTAAATGTCATAAAAAAAATCCAAGTGACACTCCAAATTACAGAACCTTGTAGATAGCCATAACCTTCAAAATTCATTGAAGTGAAACAAAGATGAATCTTCTAAAATCGTAAATATGATTGACAATAGTTACTCAAAGAAGATATATGAAATAATGAACTTTGATTTGTCTGCACCAAATAATAAGAAAAGTATCCTTTTCCAGACTTACAGCGCAAGCCATTAGCATCAGATTCTTTAAGTGCTGCAACGATAACTTCTCTGATAAACGGACGAAACACGATCAATCTGAATTCAACCTACCACAACAGTGAAAAAGGAAAAACAAAAAAAATCGTCAAACTTCAGAGAAACAATAAAACAAGCTAATATTTCTTGCATACAGCAACTTAATACCCAAAAAAAGAGAGGCATTACCGTATAGGTGGAAGCACCATACCCGGGGAAGACAAAGCCACCTTTAATTGACCTGATATCATATACCGAAATACAGTCCTAACTTCGCAATAACCTATAATATAATTCACGAGCATTCATCAATCATTATCAAAGCATAGTTAAAACCAAAGAAAACCCCCCATTGAAACAATGAATACGTTGGCAGATTTACGGTACAACAAAACTTATCAATGAAAAGGGATCCCAACTCTGCCTTAATAGCCTCATCAAGAGGAAGGTGAAGAAAATGGGGCGGTAACCGCAAAGTGTGTTCGATTAAGGTAAGATAGAACATTTCCTTTAGCTATCTTTAACGTTTTCAAATTTTCAAGAGTCTGAGAATCAAAACAAAAACAAAAACAACCTTATGAACATGTACATTGAGGCATCATTCCGAACATGTGATAGGCAGTAAAGTGCAAACAGTAGATTTGACAGTGTAGAAACTCGAGAATATTTTTTAAGCAAAAGTGAAGGAAAAACAATGAAACCAAACGTACCGCTCGCCGGAGAAGTTGACCGTGAAGCAAGCTTGGAAAGCATTCGAGAAACAAAAGATCAAGTACAAGACACAGCCTTGTTTTCTCTTGGCCGCAAATGAGCTCTAATTTCAAATATTGCCGCAGTGTAGTATATATACAGGGTGGTAATGAAATGGAACTACGGACGAAGTGAGAATCTAATTTAATAAAATATATTTTAATTAAAAATAATATTTCAAATTTATTTTGATTTAAGTGTTATAATATAGTATTGTTTTAAAACTTATTTTGATTATTAATATATCTATTTGTACTTTGAATTAACTCTGAATAATGTTCGAATTTTATCATCTATAAAATAGTGCATGTATGTTCTTAATTTAAATTTATTTTGATTCAAGTCTCTTTATATATGGGTTATTTTGATTTAGATTCAAAAAAACTTTTGATTTGTTGATTTGTATTTTAGGGTAAATTACGTGTTTAAAATTTAAACTATTAATTTTGGTCTGTTTTAGTATTTGATTTTCAATTTTTTCAAAACCATACCTAAAGTTTAGTTATTGTTTCATTTTAGTATTCGCTGTTAAAAACTTTAATTTTTATTTCATTTTATCAAAATTTAACTTTAAATTTTGGAAATAATGAAAGTTTAGGTACTAAAACGAGTCAAAACTTATAGTTTATGTACTAAATGTGTGCAGTATAGTAAGATGAAATCAAAACTAAATGTTTGTATAATTTTGAAAAAAATGAAACTTTAAGTAAAACGGATTAAAACTGATAGTTTAGATACTAAATGCATAGTTTACCATGTATTTTATAATGATTAATTATGATTATATCATAGAGAAGTTGCGGCGAATTCCCTGTTGTACATGTTAATGTAAGCCCAACAAGCATCAAACGGGGGAACAATGGAGACAAACAAAAATAAAGAGGATAACAGAGCAAACTTCATCCATGAAAAGAGAAAAGTATTAGTTCTATTACAACATAGGAAAGCCAAACTCCTTTGATTTCCATTTCCTACATTCATCCGAACACATGATTTTTGCAATGAACAACAATCAAAGGAAAAGGAAAAAGGTTTGGCGTTTAGAGCGACAATCCAGACTCCTCATCCTCTTCAAGGGAGGAAGTGTAGACAAAGTAGAGTGCCCAAATCAGGCCAAATACACCGAACAAAATCCACCCGAGAGTGTTGTTGTTGCTCAATCCAAAGGGAAGTCCGGTTCCTTCGGTCGACATTCTCTCATCCACTAAAGCCATGGCTGGGCTCGACACGGTCGCTGCACAAGCTGCTGCCACCAAAGATGCACTTTTGCCCATAGTTGAACCATTCTCCTCTGGAAATGAAGTACCCTTCTTCTCCATGCTACACATCACCTTCACGTTCCCCTTCTTTGCCATTGTCGGCAACCCTGGAAGTAAAATTTGCAGTTTGAGGTGAAAATGGAGATGACCCTTTCAATTTAAGAACCAGAAAATTCTTACCAATGGCAACAGGCGATGCAACACTCGGCAGTGGCTTGTGTACAAGGGCTGTAGGGGTGGTGGCAGTAGCCGACATGGTTGCCATGGATTCTTTGCTTCAGTTTGAAGATTTTTCAAGAACAGCGGCAGTTGGATCCGGAGGGTGCCAATTGATTTCATAGACCTTTTAAAACAACGTCTACAAAGATTAATTGGTCAAGTATCACACCGGACAGATGGTAGATAGAATGTCCCTCGTTTTGTTATCCCATATCTAAATAGAACCAACCAAATTCATCCACGTGTGATGTCATCCCTTCTATATAACAAAGATTGATCCAGGAGCGTTCTGTGGTGGTCATATCATAACACGACAAAGTTAATGACCATAGAATTATTTAAATTGATTTCCCATTTTCAAGAGCTTTGCAATTCTCGTTGTGAAGAGGGACCTGTAATGAAATTAGCAAAGAAAACAATAGCCTGAAAGTGAACAAATCTTCATAACAATAAAAAGTTTACTTGCTTCCTCTTTCATTTCAAGTATCCGTATTGGAACCTAGTGGAATTGTGATTATATCAAAATTATGTACAGACGTATACCTGCAATGCAGAGCATCCTACAGAAACTTATTAGCTTTGGCCACTGCCACAAATTTACTCAACCCCTGAAATGTTACTGCCGCCTGAACTATTTTGGGGAGAAGAATGAGTCAAAAAATTACATGAAAGATCGTTAAAGAATCGGATTAATAGGAATGGTTTCCGAGTGATGCAACTGGTAATGTGTTATGAATCAAATAATTCCACTTGTATGCTTCGAAATCTTCAATTATTCGTGGATATTGCACTTCTGTAAGTAAGGGAGGTCGTACAACAAATGTTTGCTCCAATAACCTTTATATTTAGCAATTCCTATTTCCAACCAGGGTTTCATGACTCCATCATAGTGTATAACTGCCGCCTGCTCGATATCACCCCTCCGAAGGCCAGAGTTATAGCCGAGCCCTAGTGCATGCCATCTCCTTTCTAAAGCCACGGTATTGTTGTAGAAGGTAATCCAACCTAAGGGCAAGCTTCCTGCCTTCCACAATGGCCTCTTAAGTCCCTGCACAAAACCACCACACAAACAAGCATGAGAAACATACAGCACGCACCATGTTGGATACCTACCGTAAAAACATTGTTATAATTATGCTATGCACAATAAATATTGACAACCAGCTTTGAATTAGTATTCTTACAGATTCATCAGAATAGAACAATACGGCGTCAAAAAAGAAAAAAAGCAATGGTATCAATTCAAAATAATGCTACGGATACATCAGGAAGCAAACAACAAGTGTCAAACTCGTGATGCACAGGGCACAAGTTTCACATCCATAAAAGTTTATTTCCCGAACATTGAATTGAATATAAATACATAAATTAAATCAATTTAGGAGCAGATATACTACAGCATGCAAAATACTTCAAAGAACTAATATGAATGTATAAGCTAGATGATAATGATTCTTAGGGCAGGATAAATTCAGAACCACAAAGATTTTTGTTTGTCATTGTTCACCATTCACATTAAGACAGTGCTAGTGGTTTAGATAGATATAGAACTTTCTGGAACAGAGGAAAAGGGGTAAGAAAGAAGATCTATTTTGAAAATTTAGACGGATAAACTTTAGGTAAAATCTCTATTTATCAAGCTGATAACAATTCCAATTGACAGAAACAAGCTAAAGCACCAGATGACATTAACTATCTTTTCAATGAATCAATATGCAACTTCAGATTAAATAGAGCCGAAATAAATTCTCAAGCATATTTTATAAGCACAGAGTGAAAGAAAAAACAAACGAAGGAAAGTACAAGCCCCATACCAGTTGCAGGTAACTTCCGTAGAGCATGGTTAACTTTTTTCTTCTCCATTCTTGGAGATCAAACAAATTCATACCAAATGCCCATGTGCAGGCATTAGCATTAAACCTCTTACCCAAAAATGGGTCTGAAAAGTTCAATAAAATAGGCATCGAACGAAAAGAGGCTTCACTTTCCAGACAAGTCTCTACAGCTGCATTTACTTTCCCCTTCATGTCAACACTCCAAATTTCAATTAAATCTCTTTGCACTACCACATCATGATCAAAGAGAACAATCTTATTCAGTGCTGGAAAGATGTCTGGCAGATAGAACCGCAGATGGTTGATGGCTGAAGTAAATCTTGGATCATAGGACTTTTGTTCCTTCAATGTTGAGTTATACTTGGTAGACAACCAATCAAAGCTTTCTATACTCTGAATATGGATTGTAGCTTTTCCAGGAGGATTTAATAAAAACCACATTGAAATTGCTGGGAGGTTGAGGTAATCGGTTACCACATGAAAAACAATTTTCTCCGGCTCCTGCATAAGCATGTATTAGTTAACCAGGGTATATTACATCCACTAACAGGTAAATCAAGGGGACAATCCTGAGTCAACTGTAGCTAATTCATCAAAGTAAAAGGAGTAATGACAGAATTGTATTGTCTTTTTAAAGGGGAAATTGATCTAATGGCAATTAGGATAAGCTTAGTGTATAAAGGAAAGGATAAAGAACTCCATGGCAACTTTGGAAAAGCTCAATCCATTACTATTCATTATAAATTCCAAATGTATCAATTATTGTCCAGAAATGTAAAACCACAGCACACAAAGCTTCCTAGCTTGATTTATCCTCACAATTCTGTTATGTGATTGTTTAGAATGGCAAACACTTTTTATAAGCAACTATGTTTAATATCATAAAATAAAATATTGAAATTTATTGAAAATCAAAAGAGCAAATAATGAAAGTTGTCAAAGGCATCTTACCTTTGCAGATGAAATTGTGGAGTTAATAACCACAGCACAAGCGAGGACATTGTCAGAAAATACTGCATAGTGATAAAGGTCTGGATCATTAATTTTTTTTTGGTTAGGGAACTGCCTTTCCTCGGGTTGAAGGGAAAAATATTCAGCTGTCTGGAGAGGCAGTGAAGGCCTTTAGGGGTAGTCCTTCCAGCAAGTTGAACAAGATACGACTCTTCACTCTTTCGTGCCCGAATCTGTTCTTCAGCATTATAAGCCATGGCACGAATTTTTCTGGCCATCGCAGAGCAGTCAGGGAATACTTGACTTGCTTTAGCCAACAAAACCTCAATAGATCTCATTTTCTGTGAAACCCTGAAATTCAGACGTTCTTCAGATATAAAGTTCAGACGACACAATGCAACCCTAAATTTAAGCAATTCACTTAATAGTATTCAACAATTCGGGTTTATTATTGAATACAAAATACATTCATAAAAATATTATTAAAGAATTATTTCCATTTTTTACCTCCTTGGCAGTTCTGAATCCATGCTGGCTTCACCGACTGTCCGTTCAACCTCTTTAATTCGTGTTCGCAGCTCTTTCAGCAAGTGGTTATTATGACCAGGCTGTGCAAAATTTAGGTACACTTTTGCTCTAATGACCTGATCTCTCATCTGCTTTACCTTCTCATCTGTTACCTTGTGTGATTGAGACTGGAAACGTTGATCGTGGCTATCAGTTTTTTGATTGTATTGCTCCTGCAACAAATAAATTAGTGTTAACTATATGTTACAAACATATTAAAACTAACATGACCTGCTCTAGCTATGACCATTTTTGCAAAAAAAAAAACTACCCACATCCCCATCCCACCCCCGCACCACCCAATAAGAACAATAACCATCAGGCATCAATTTGATGGCAATGTTACCAAAGAAATTTGTGGTGGAAAAATAGCCTTCCTTTTCTCTTATTCTCGTACTGTATTCTGGCATAGCCCAGACATTAGATATGACCCATTGTTTCACCAGTTTTTGCATTAAGCAAATCAATACACATTGTAAATTTAGTGGGAAGCAAATTCAAATACCACGAAAGGGGATTGTGATACAAATTGATATAAGGGGATGGTCCGCTGAAATTTGAAATACATTTATAATCTCAATACCAGCTCAGTTTTTTGGTGCAGCAAACCAAATCTACTCTTTGTATTGATTCAGAAAGAATGAGAGATCTAGAAAACCAACATTTGCTTTCACCCACAAGAATAAAAAAGCATACAATACTGCAACCATCTCAATACCAGCATCTCATCACACTTCACAATTCAAATACATACCTTTTCCCTGGAGTTCATCTGTATTATATTCTGCATATTTGGATGCTCATCGTTCCCTTTACCATAAGTTTCTGAATCTATAAAGTAGAGCAAAACAGAGTAATGTTGAGTCAATCATAAAAGACGCTTTATGCATCCAAGTAATACTCACCTTTCATTTCTAGAATATCAGCATCTTTTGGATCCCTTGGTCGATCCGAATCATGATTCCCATCAGACATGCGATCAACTGTAGAACTAAAATCATTCTCTTTGAAAACAACTACTTTTGGACCTTTCAGTCCTTTGGCAGCTTCCTAAATAACAAATCAACAAAGACAGGAATGCAATCTGTCAAAAACCATTTCAAGGAAAAAAATGTTCAAAGCAAATTGCACTAGATTCATAAATCTCAAAGCTACCTGTTCAATTGCATTAAGTCTTCTATCATCTGTGTTATACTTCTGTATCAAACAAAGCAAATGAACTCATTAGAAATAGACCAAAAAATGAAAGGAAAAAAAACAGTATACAATAGATCCAAGCAAGAGAGATCCGTACAATACTGGTTAATTCCCCCACAAAATCCTTCCGCCCTGCTTTAATAGAATCATAAATGCAAAAACAAGAACAGTCAACATCTCGACAGTTAAATTAAATAAAAATACAAAAGGGCAAACACAAAAATATCAAAATTTCTCTTTAACACAAATAAGGTTGCCTGTTTCAACTTCAAACTATCAAGTACTTTTCATTAATCTAAAATCAATAGATTTGAAGAATATTACCAATAAAAGCTATGGGTTTAAGTCTCTGCGAAACCAATACGAATTGGGCGAATACAAAGAAAGAGAGAAAGGAGAGGATTAGAATCCTCTGCCAATGACGACACTTCTTCATGAATGAATAAAAACCGCTAAAAAAATCCCTTCAACTCTCAAACAGAAAGTAAAATATGACGATCGCTAATCGAGTTTTTTTTGCTCTCCTAATCGATCTCCTAAAACAACCAAATTTCAAAGGTTCAAATCGACATCGATTCGATGCCTGGAAAAACTAGGGTTTCTAGTGGTGATCTTGCTGCTCTTTCCAAAGGGAAAAAAGGTAGTTTAAGAGGTTCGTTCACGTTTTGCGTGCGGCTGAAGTAGATGGTCTTTCCTTTTCCATTGTATCTTAGTTTCCAGCTATTTATTAGTATTATTATTTTCTATTTGATCTGGAATTTAATGTCTTCTGATCTGAAATTCTGGATTTATATATGAAATCTAGGGGTTCGAACTTTCGCAGGAAGAGATTGAATCGCGAGAAATACGAGCGTGATGTACGGTGGTGCCGCTGTCATTTAATGATTATAAGACCGAGGTTTACTGACAGTTGACTGTAGTCAGAAAATATTAGTACTGTGAGAGTGCGGCTGAGATGATGGATTTACACTTTTCCTTGCCGTTGTAGTTATAGGTAGTACAGTTTAATAAAAATATAAGGAAAGAAGTTATCAAAAATATTAATTTTTTAAATATTTTTAGTAGAATTTTATTTAAAATATTATTTTTTATTAAAAATATTAATTTTATTACTTAAAATGAATATTATTGATATTAATATTTTTGGTATAAAAAATAATATTTTAGGTATTGTCTGATATTAATATTTTTGATAGAAAAAAATAATATTTTAAATAGCGTTCTATCAGAAATGTTAAAAAATATTAATATTTCCGTTAGCGTTTTTTTTAGCCTTATATTAGGTTACATTTCTTTAAAGTTCTCTTTATGCTTGGATTTTGTGGGCTCTTTCTCTTGCTATTGGAAAACTGTATCAATTTTCAATGTGGTTAGTCTCTGGCTGTGTTGTTTCAAAGTAGTTTGTCCACGAACCAAATATATTCGTGGTAAAAGAATTGTTGTTATTCTTGAGGATTCGGGTTTGAGCATTATAAATGCTAGGGGTATAAGTGTTCTATGTCGAAAGGTTGAGAGTTATCTTTGAACAGATATTATCTTATACTTACCCCGAATTAATAAAAAAAAGTAAATATATTTTTGGCATTTCGGCGTCCAATGTTTTACTTTAAGCCAAAAAGCTTCATCTATAGATGAAAACTATTAGTTAACACACGATTAACGTTCCAAAATAAGATCAATTTTTAACCTAAAAATGAAACGTTGATGGCTAAAATACCCCATAAAAAATAAAGAACAAAATGATTATTCTGTTAATGTTAGGGGTCTTATTACCTTAAAATGAAATGTTGGGGGCCAAATGCTTCAAAAATATAATAGGAATTATAATGATTATTTTATAATTTTTAGAAATTTAGTGACAGAAAATACCAATTAAGAATAGTTTAGTGACACATTATCCAAAAAAGCAAGGAAACTTGTGTGTTTAAAAAAACCTTTTGCCCTCTAATTTTCGGCTATTTGATCAAACTGACACGCCTTTAATGAATATTTATCTTTTTGGCACCGTTTGATATATATTTCTCGAAGTGGCACCCTTTCGGCTGAGCTGGAGAAAGGCGTGTCCCTGGGGACGCGCTTTACCCGTGTTTTCGCTGAGTTGGATGCCACGTGTAGAATGCGCATCCACGGGGACGCGCCTTTCGCCAGCTCGACTGTCACGTATTTTGTTTAATAATAAATATTTTATTTTTATTATTATTATAAATTAATAATATATTATGTAAAGTGTTTCGATAATGTAAAATTATCAATGTATTTTGTTAATGTGTGTTAAAGGTGGAGTGAATTATCTACATTAATAGATATAACAATATATGAAAACCAGTTTTGACTTTATTGTAGTTATAGGAAAAATGTATGAAATTATAATATTACACATATGGTTATATTATTATTTTTGATTTTGATTATCGATCTATTAATTTTATCAGTTAATTATTTAAATGTTATTAATCTAGTCATCTCTTATCAATATTTAACGAAAATATTGATGCATAAGTTAATAAATTAGTATAATTACATATTTAATATTCAAGACTTACATATTTTATGAAATTAGTCTTATTTAAAATTTAATTTAATAAATTTAATCCTCCAATCAGAACATGAAATGTGTCATCGTATACATAAATTTTTTAATAACTTTTAATTTGTTTAATTTAATATTTTTCTCTACTTAAAATGTGGAATTATTTTTATATTTAAAAAAATTATAACTAATAATATTAATTATTATATTAAATAAATATATTAAAAAATTTTGTATTTAAAAGTTAAAAAAAATTATTTAGGTGTACATACATTGACAAATTATATAAATGCAATAACATTAAATTATTATAAACAAAACATTCATTTAAATACAATATTAATTACATAAGAGTTAACGGTTATATGATGAACCAAGAGCTGAACATTTTTTTCTATTGTGCCCGATGTTTCTACAATGCCCACATCGTTTTTGTTTTGTTGACTTATCCCGAATATCCATATCACAATGTATTCTAGTAGATTTTGGACGACCTGAGTCCCTCAATAGCAATGGATCTGGTACAATTGTAAGCCAAGTTTAAATCTCATTTGGGTCTCTTTCGTTTCCTATGGGCGGAAACTCAAAACTCTGAAAGAGTTAGCTCCAATCCCTTGCAGCGGACGTGGCATTTCGGTTACACGAGCACATGCCTTTGCTTAATCCTCTAATTATTCGTAGAATATATGCCCGAGCACATGCCTTTGCTTGATCCTCTGAAGCATTTTCATTTAAAACCTCAAAATTAGCTTTCAACAAAGATAAAGTTATTCTACCTCAATTAAACTCTAGCGGAGCAGCTCCAAGATAATCAATGCACATTGATTGCCAATCACCATCCGCCATACCACACATCATATTTCCGTCTACGGGAAGCCCCATATGCATAGAGACATCCTCCAATGTAATTGTGGTCTCTCCACATGGAAGGTGAAAAGTGTGTGTCTCGGGCCTCCACCTCTCAATCAGTGCAGAAATTAGGACAGGTTCGAGTTTGCAATCGCCTATAATTGTTGCAATATACCCCGAACCCGGCAGAAGCCAAATATGGAAAAATATGTTCCGGTGTCGGTATACGTGAATTTTTAATAAAAGTCTCTAAAATACGACCAATATCCTAAATAATATACATTATAAAAAATAAAAATTAATATAAATTCATAATAACTTTAAAATAAAAATAAATTTAAATATTAACATTAATTATAGAAAATATTACCATATCGCTAAAATGTCTGGAGATATGATCAATATCCAATCGCAACAGCATTTCGTTTCCATTATAACTGTAGACAAAACAATATAATTAGCAAACAAAAAATTAATAATTCTAAATAAATAATAATTATATAAATATTATTTTAATAAAAAATAATATTTACATAAATATATTAATATAAAATATAATAACTATTTAAAAAATACTAACATAAAAATAAATTTATTACCATTAATAACAAATTTAAAACTTAAATAGTTGGAGAATTTGAGTTATATAAAAGAGGAGAATATGATTTTAGTGTGAAGAATGAGGGAGGGTTGAGGGGGTTTATATAGGGGAGGAGGGGGTAGTTAGAGAAAACGGATGGGGGCATTTATGACATTTAGTGGAAGATGCGTCTCTGGGGATGCGCTTTCCACACGTGGCAGTCGAGCTGGCGAAAGGAGCGTTCCTGGGGATGCGTCTTCCACACGTGGCATCCAACTCAACGAAAACACGAGTAAAACGCGTCCTCAGAGACGCGCCTTTCGTCAGTTCAATCGAAAGGGTACCACTTTCAAAAATATATATTAAACGGTGTCAAAAAGATAAATATTCGTTAAAGGCGTCAAATAGCCCCAATTTTCAGCACCGAAGCAATTGCAGGCCCTATGCACCAGCAAATATCTCCTTATCATCTGCCCCCCCACCTCTCCTTCATAGACACTGACACGCCCTTTTATGTCATCCAAAGACCCAAAAGACTCTGTAAAATTTTCCAAACCTCATCTCCGTTCTGTTCGAATGGCAGGAGAAGTGTATCTGGTTCCGGCGGCGAAGATTCGAGTGGCTTCGGTGAAGAAGAAGACGGCGGTCACAACGAGCTGGGTTTCGATAGATGCAAAGGGGGAAGTCGGGGTTTTCGACATCGATAAGTATGCTATAATGCGCCGTGTTCAGGTTCATGCTAGAGATCTTCGTATTCTTGATCCAATGTTATCCTATCCTTCCACTATTCTGGGCAGAGAAAAGGCCATTGTTCTCAATTTAGAGGTAATTTTGATTTTGTTTTCCTTTCAAAATTGTTTTAATTAGATGTGTAACTAAGCTGATTTTACTGATTCCAGCACATTAAAGCTATAATAACAGCAGAAGAGGTGAGTTTGTAGAATACGAGTAATTTTCAATATTTTTATTTGATATGATATTAAGATCGGTTCTATTTTTGTGATAGGTATTGCTTAGAGACCCATTTGATGATAATGTAATACCTATTGTCGCCGAACTTAAAGGGCGATTGCCTCAAGAAAATCTCACATGTCGAGGCCAAGGAGAAGAAGAAGAAGAAGAACACCCTGGTTTGCGCAACTGTACAAACAATGGAGAAGAAAATGGTAATACTAAAACTACTAGTTGAAATCATTTTATCGAGTGTTTGTTTTTTTCACTCCACGATTTTGGTACGTTTCATGTAGAATTTCCATTTGAATTCTGGGAATTAGAAGTAGCACTAGAAGCAATTTGTGGCTTTCTTGATGCGCGCACTACGGAGCTGGAGACTGATACTTATCCAGCTTTAGATGAGCTGACCTCCATGGCAGAAAATACCAATTAAGAATAGTTTAGTGACACATTATCCAAAAAAAGCAAGGAAACTTGTGTGTTTAAAAAAACCTTTTGCCCTCCAATTTTCGACTATTTAATCAAACTGACACGCCTTTAACGAATATTTATCTTTTTGGCACCGTTTGATATATATTTCTT